TTTTTTTTTTTTTTTTTTTTTTTTTTTATTTTTTTTTTTATTTTTTTTTTTTTGAATCATTATTTTTCTCTTTTTTTCTTATGAATTTCTTTTTTTTTTAAATTTGAAATCATTTATAAAATCTTAATCCATAAGCTTTATGTTTAGCTGAAAAAGCCATTGAAAACAACAATAGTCTTGTCTCTTGTGGTTGTAGCCCCATCAAAGTGGTCGTGATGAACTGCTGTGATCTTGACCTTTTTCGTTCCCCTGACCTCTTCACGTGACTGTTTCTGTGCAGTTCTTTAAACATTTTTTTTTTAAAAATGTTAAATCAGTTTTGTGGTACCATCCCCCCATCTGGGACGGACTGACCAGCGCAGGTTTATCCCCGACATCAAGGGGATAACACCACGTGGATTACTACACGGATTAGCACTGACCGGGGAAAGTTCCCGGTCAGAGTTCCCGGGAGCACCCGCCCTGTGTTTCCACAGAGCTGCGAGGAGGTTCCGTGTAGGTTTATGCTCCCATTTACTCCAAAGACACGTTTACGTCACGTGCGGTTGGATTAGTGAGTAATGACCTAGAATTATCATACTGCTGGCGGTAAATAAGGCATGATTACCTGGAACTATTATACATACGTGCAGTAAATCAGGGATACTTATCTGTAGCTATTATACTACCTGCAGTAAATCAGGGACACTTATCTGTAATTATTACACTGCGGGCAGTAAATAAGGCATGATTACCTGGAACTATAACATTACAGGCCCTCACCCAAGATTTCCCTCTTGAACCCACGCCAACCCCGAAAATAGATATACATTTATTTCTTATCAAATGCAGTGCACCATTTATTTTATTTTTTAAAAAACAACAGAAGCAACTCTGTCTTTTGTGTACTTGGACTTCTATTTCTTTTACGCATTTTTACTTTCAGGTACGCCATGTGACTTTCATGTAGGTCCTGTCATCAGCTAACATGTACGACATCCTGTCATCAGCTAGCATGCACGACATCCTCTCATCAGCTAACATGTACGGCATCCTGTCATCAGCTAACATGTACGACATCCTGTCATCAGCTAACATGTACGACATCTTTTCATCAGCTAACATGTACGACATCCTGTCATCAGCTAACATGTACGACATCCTTTCATCAGCTAACATGTACGACATCCTTTCATCAGCTAACATGTACGACACTTCAGTGTCACCCTCACCATTATTATACAATAACAATACTATAGCCCTTTTCCAGCGTCGGGCCTCCGCTTTCAAAACTTTCTGCCATCTTTGTGTCGTGATTGAGAACCACCGTACATTTACTTTGCTCTTATATGTGGTCTGACATCAGTATTTTGAGGACAACAAAGAGGCCATATAGGCAATACTCCACGCTTATTTCTAAGAAACCTCTCAGTAAAGAAAAAAAAAAAACCTGTCCTATCGCGGTACCAGTGGCTGTAGTGTTGACAGTCCTGCCAGCTGTAGCCATCGTAAAAGATTTATAGTGTAATATGGTAGATAACCTTTACTGGTCTAAGTTCTGTTTAATCTCTCTAATCACTTTTGTTAGGTTGATAACACTAAACTTCCAACTGTCACTCGTATTGCAGCAATCAGGTGATCGACAACTCGTCGACGGCACAGCCTTTGCTCTTTTATTTTTATAGGCCACTATGCTTCACTTTCACTCGAGTGGTTCTCAGCTCTCTGACTGTCACTGCCCGTATGTCTGTACTGTCCAGGATGTACTGCGACTACCCTCCAACGGTACTCTCGCTGCTCCCGGACTGTGTTCTCCCCGACTGGTCCCCGACTGTTATGTTCTGTTGTCCGGCTGAATTCTCCCCGACTGTCCTCTACATCTGTCCAGCTCATTTCTCCAACTAACGGTCCCCTTTTATTAATCCCCGAATTAGTCGTGGCCTCTCTAAAGATTCCTTCCCAGGACTATTTCCCTATCTGTGCAGCGAAAAGTTTCTACACCCTTGTACTAAGATAAACTTCCCCCTCCCTCCACCCCGTACTAAATGGACATTTCTCATTAACCAGCAACCCTTGCATTCCCAATGCCTAGATTTATTACGTCTGTCACCGTTGCGAGTTGCGCTAGCCTCGTCCCGGTGCAATCTGACACCCTACGAAAGGTTGTCAGTCTTCGCACCTGTGGCAATTCCCCTCCCCCTTTCTCCCCCCCCCCCCCCCCCCCCCCCCACCTCCCGTTGTCACTGAAATATCTACCTCCGTAGTTCCGGTTGCAGGACATTACACCACTGTTATATNTTTTTTTTTTTTTTTTTTTTTTTTTTGGTGCGTAATATTTTCTTTTGATTTATGGAGGGAAAAAAAAAAGTCTCAATTCGATAACTCTGTGGTATAAATGGTGGAGGGACATTACACTATTAAATATAGTTCAGCGGGCGGTGGTACACCGTGGGGATCTTATACAGAGCGTCTCTTGAAGGTACGTTGCGTCAAAGTAACTTTTAGTATATTTGGAAGTTCAGGCATCGCGGCCGTCATTGTTGGGGCTGGCCGATACAATAGCTAGCAATATAGCTGGCCGATACAATAGCTATAGCAATATAGCTGGCCGATACAATAGCTATGGCAATATAGCTGGCCGATACAATAGCTATAGTAATATAGCTTGCCGATACAATAGCTATAGCAATATAGCTGTCCGATACAATAGCAATATAAAATATTGCTAAGTGGAATCGGATCCCACAGAATTCAATCGGGTCGAAATGTTCATAATTGAATCTCGGAATAACCATTGCATGTAGTTGTATTCATTAATTTTTTTTTAATTTTTTTTTAAGACCTAGTTGTTTTTACTGCTTGCCTGCGCAGCAAACTTATGTTTCACTTACCTTGTTAAAAAGTCCCATTTCTTGTTGACATAGCCTTGGCCTTGATGACAAAGCCCAGGCCTGGTTGACATATACCTAAAAGCTTGTTTACACAACTTAGACTTATACATTAAAAAAAAAATTCCTGAAGCTGTTTACATATCCCTGACAACAGGGGCGTCATGTCGGTAGGACAGGGGATGAGGCATTTGCCCCCACCCCCTTTTTTAAATTTTCAGGTTTTATTTAAATTGCTTTGTATAGTCGCACCTCATGTAATAAAGAACTTGACAAGCCGATCAAATTTTGGTTTATGCACCACCCCCACCCCCCCCCCAACTCTTGTAAAAACCTGAAATGACGCGCCTGCCTGACAATATTTACACAGTCGTGACATCGTTAAGATCTTCTTCTTCTTCTTCTTT